ATTCCATTCGTTGTTAGGGTTTAGTTTAATATATTTGACTGACCTTTCGCTTATTTGACCAGTGGTCAGGTCAGCTGACACTCGGCCCAGAATCTGACCATCTGCTGACCTTAGCACACAGTCGCATTCGGCGCATATTGCGAAATGTTGCTGCCCGAATGTCAAATTAGGTTTAGCAATTTTGATTTCTACCGACAGCCGGCCATAAATTATATATACTTTGAATCGTTTAACTGCCTAGGTGATCAATCAAATCGTCACCAATATACTAAGCCCGAAACGCGATCGTCCAAAATTTGTTTTATGATTGCGATTAGGCAGCCGCTGGCTAATTGTCGTCTGCTGTTGCTTGAGCAAGCAATTAAAACAATTTACTTTTAATTGCAATATAATTTTCTATTTGCACTCGAATTAAGGCACATTATCAACTGAGTCGCTGCCAGACACCAGAGCCCACATCGGACGCTCGTGCACTGCCCGACGTCTGCCCAGTTAATCGCCATCGGCCTCGACCACCCGCCCACCCGCCCGCCCCTTCACCCGCTCTGTAATGCATGCCCCGACTGGCCTATGGCTGGGGGGGATCTGTGTAAAGTGCCACTGGCGCCTACATATCACAGAATTGATAATATCGCACCAAAATGGCCGCCAATTGTTGAGTCACTTTGTTTGGGCAACGCAAAAAGTTTAAGTTACTTGATTTTCTCCAGATCCACTGTACACCAATTTCTTATATTTTATATTGATTATATATGCAAACATTTAAATATATATTACTTTTGTGCAAATCATATCAACAATTACGTTTAAGATTTCTAAAAAAGCAATTAAATTTGTAAATCATAAAATGTACATTTTTGTAGATATATATTTTCTGATTTTCATTTATGAGCTTTTACTTTACATTAAATGTGGAATTGGCTTACAAGATAGGGACTGCTTTGGTCTAAGATAGGGACTAGGCATTTATTCTAAATAAAACACAACCGGAGTGCTTATCAATATAGAACTCAGAGCTATATACAGATGTATATTTAGATTATTTTAACGCATTTTTTCATGTTATCCAAATTTTTGTAAGATGTGAAAATATCTAGTTTTCACAACGGGTTCGAACCGAGACGAGTTTGAACCAGGAACTTCAATTTTTTATTTGCTCTGAACTACTTGCATTCCTTGGATTAAGAATAGAGAAACTTTATCCTGAATGAAACCATATATTTGGAGAAAATTATTTGATTCAAAACAATATTTTATAATAAAATAATGAAAATAATGCAGCAAAACTTGTATGCTTTTGCCATTATTATTTTATTACTCTAAATACGAAATATTAGCTAGTTTCAGTTAAGTTCAAAGATGAAAATTGTTGCATTGAAAACTGCGTGAAATGTTAAAAGCCAAGATTCAAAACACAACATGGATTTCAAACCAAAACTTTCTGCTTCGCATTGGTTTAAGCAATGGTCAAACATTTTCGTTGGTTCGAGTTTGCAGTCTTGGTGGAAGGAACTGATATGATATTAAATGAATATATTTGTCATTGATTGATTCCATTGTTAAAAAACAATTCCAAAATGAACAGAAATTTGCACCTAGAACCATATGAGATACATTGATGAGACTATCATCAAGACAGTTGAACTATCGAGTTCTAGTTTGATTATATCTCATTTCGATACCATGATCAATTGTTCGCAATCAGTTAACCCGGCTCTTGAGCAACTCATAAGTAATCCCCCGAGTTAGACATGTTGTAAAACACTTGAGACTTTCATTCACTTTCATTTCACACGAGAATTTATCAAAGTTATGCAAAAGTCAACAACAAGAATTGAGTTAAACCTGCAATTGTAATTAAAGCTAGTTGCGATGTTATCAAATTACATTGACTTTGTTGCCATCTAAACGATGGTGCCTCACCCTCCATGCACACCCGCACACACGTGCAACCCGAAGCCACTCGGGCACCCTCAGAGCTGTTGTTGCTGTTGCTGCAACTTCTGCTCTTGTTTACATTGATTGTCAGCAGTGTCATTTAAGCGCCATGCCACCATGGCACCATGGCGCTTAGCAGCCGCTCGCCCGCGCCGCCGCCGCCGCCGCCGCCGCCGCCGCCCGTGCAAACACACAGTTGCTGCCAGCGGATGGCCTTGTGCATGTGCACTGGGTGAGTTGCCCGTACATTTCTTCAACACTGTCAACAGTAGTCGCAGTTGGCGTAGACGGAGTCGTAGCCGCCGACGCCGGCAGCAGCAGCAACAGCAGCAGCAATAGCAGCAGCAATAGCAGCAGCAGCAGCAGCAGAGGCGGCGACACGTCAGCTCTGCATTGCATGCATTCAAGTGGAAGCGATCCACCGATAATGCTCTCTAAAACTAATATTACACAGTAGATATCGTTTGGCGCCGGACGCGGACGCCAGTAAAAGGCGACAGTGCCGCCGCCAACTGGCCGCGACATGTTTGACATGCCGAGCGACACCGAGCAGAGCGCCCAGTTAACCAGCAAATGCTCTGGCAGCTCCATGCCCGTAACCCATACTCAATACCCAGTACCCAATGCTCAATACTCGATACCCATACCCATAGCCATACCCATTACCCAAATGCCGGGGCATTGATAACCGGAATGCGACATTCAGACGCTGCCGTTTGTTTGCTGGAAAATTCAAATGTAGCCCAAGCCACTCACAACGTAATCCTTGGGCTTGTTTTCTTAGACATGCCTGCTGGTGTGCGAGTTTGCGTGTGTGTGTGTGCAGTGTGTTTGTGCATTACGATAGGAGTTTTGAGTTCGACTTGAATTTCCAACGTCAGCGGCTTATCGACCCCCGCTACCCCCTGCCACCACTCCGGCGCTACTGTGCAAATTGAGCCACAGTGGCCACCATCTGGATCCGCCAAATGGCTTCTCTTTTGCAGTAGGTGTCATAAATTCATCATTCATTCGCGTGCTCCGCGTGGACGGCATTCATTTTTTTTTTATTATTGTTGTTTTTGCTTCGTATTATTTATGATATCGCTTATTTGATTTATTGTGGCCCGTCACCAATTGCCGAAAACCCAGCCGAATGCAGAAAATACCCAACTACTTGCGATCATAATACTTAATTATTACCTGCAGCCCAGTCCAGCTGCCGGTCACCTTTTAACTTAGGGCTAATCGTCGTTCCAATAATAATGAACAATTACGCGTCATTATTGCTACTTAATGCTTATTAATTGATTTATTCGAATGAAACTTTCATTTAGATTTATGATTGTGTGAAAAGGTTTTTTTACAACCGCCCATTGGCTGGATCAGTTATTTTTGTTTTTTATTGTACATAAACTAAATAAAGCGTTCGCTGACTCAATTGCCCCAGATGAGCATCATTAATACGAATAACAACATGTTCTTCATGTTCTTACAAGTTATGTTTATAAAGCTCTCGGCTTGACTTTTTTTCTTATCAGATTCTGGTTTATTGGATTCAATAAGTAATGTTTAATATTTTGTACGGTTCGTTTTTTCTTGTGTACCTTTTTATTTAAAAAAAACTCGAAGCAATTTTGTTTCATAAAAGAGACTATTTTCAAAGATATCTCACGCTTAAATAGTTTTAATATTTTTGAAATTCAGATTATAACATGCTTTTACATATCTAGTAAACATATGAGCACTTTATGAATGTATACTTAATAAAATATATACCAATCTAGTTTTAAAATATTGCCTTTAGATAAAACACACTATCAAAAACCAAAAACAATATTATATCAAAAATTAACAATTGAATTTCCACAATAAAAAGAAAATGTTTTTGCTGCATTGCAGAAAAGTTCATTAAATTAATTTTTAGTACAAATATTTTTCGTTGGTCCAATAATTTACTTAGCTCTTTTCTCTCTCTTTTTATTAAATCATTTGTTGATACTTTGCTATAGCATCTAGTTGTAGAATAAGAAGATTAACATAGTTTGAACTAATTATAAATTTAACTATAACTATAACCAAGTGCCCGACTTGGGAGATAGATGGGATGGACGAAGGCGTTGCTTTTTTCTGCAAAGCGTTCTTGCCTGTATATTGGCTGGAGAAGTGCTGTAGGAGGGCGCCTTAAGATCCGTAGACAGGTCCCCGTTGCGAAGACACCATGATGCCCCAGTACTAAGTCAGAGAACCTTGAAAGACACTAATTTTGCTACAATATGATTTTGCAGCTTTACCAAAGATTCAGCTTGCATAGCCCCAAACTAGGGCAATTTATTTAGGTGGCTAATTGAAAAATCCTGTTCATGTAAATCCAAGAAGAAAATACGTTTTCCATGAATATGTTATTACATATTTATCTTTAAATGCCATACCTTAGGGATTTGTTACATTTCTTATATTCAAGCTAAATGGAAAACAATTTTCTGCTCATTCTCTACAATTGGGCATAACTGTTTGACATGTCGTTACGAGAGACATTTCCTTAAAAAATTCTACTAAAACTAGTCAAACCCCCGAATACAAATACAGCATACACAATTCCCGTACCACCCACAAATACATTTTATTTTCTTGCCTAAGATAAAGTCAAACCCGCTGTCAGGATAATCCCAATATTTTCAAACAAACCTATTAGCCACATTAAATCCTTCTATGGAAAGGGCAGAGATTATTTTCATCATCGTCGGCTTTAGCCACGGGGCGCATGTCAAATTATGAATAAAATGCAAAATCACGCAAAGACCAAAAGTCAAAGGCACGGCCCAAAAAAAAAAACACACACAAACACACACACACTTAGACTCACAGAGCTGAATGCCCACAATGATTATGGTTAGGCTCGAGAACCGAGAGAGCGAGGGTCTTCGTCTCTCACACTGATTAGCTGCGACAGCTAGAGATCAACGCCAGGGGATCACTCAGCCCAAAAAGTAACCACAACAAATGCCAAGGCAGCTAACTGAATGACGATTTCTTTCTTTTCTTTGCTAACCTCGCCTCTGCTCTGCTCCTTTACCTTCCAGCACCGAAACTACCTGCCAACATGAGCAACATGCACGATTACCAGCTGAATGGCCACCTCGACATGTGCCGCGCCGGCAACGTTGGCGGCAGCGCTGCCGTCCTGCCCATCCAGAATCCACTGCTGCTGTCAAACAATGCGGCCGCGGGCAGCGCATCCAGCGGCCTGGGCGTGGGCCTAGCCAGCGGCAACGGTGCTGCCGGTGCCAGTGCCGGCGTCGGCCTCAGCGGCTGCAGTCTATCCTCCACGAACAACTCGGGCCGCACCAACTTCACAAACAAACAGCTGACCGAGCTGGAGAAGGAGTTCCACTTTAATCGCTACTTGACGCGCGCCCGCCGCATCGAGATTGCCAATACGCTGCAGCTAAACGAGACGCAGGTGGGTCAAAGCTGAAAAGAATTTCTTTTTTCTAAATTTAAATTCCGATGACACAGGCTGAAAGTGGTAAAAAAAACATTTGGATATTAAGGAAAAACAGACTAGAGAGAGTTGAAAATATTAAAAAAATACGGTATAACTCGAGTTAAATTAATTATCATTGCATGTCGAAAAGCTTTTAAAGCGGATATTACTCCTGATAAAAGGTCATATATTAATTATAGATTTAATGTGCTTTTAAAGCAGTCAAAAATAATCAAAGCTTTTCAAACTGATATGATTTCTGAAAAACAGTCAAATTCAAATACTTCGTATTTGAGTTTCGATTATTAAAGCTTTCATGCTGTCAAAATTAATCAAAGCTTTTAGAGCTGATGTTAATCCTGAAAATCAAGTCAGCTAAAAGTAGAATTTATTTTGTTTCGCTTAGTACTGAAGTTTGAATTATTATAGCTCTCATGTTTCCTTTAAAAGCTGCCGAAATATTTTAATTGTACAAGATAAGCCAGCTGCTGAAGCTGCTGTTTTATTCTCACTCAATACAAGCTTATTGAAGTTTAAAGCTTTCATGTGCTTTCAAAGCTTGCTTCGCAGAAGGCGTAAGTAATAAAAACAAAACAAATGAAACAAAAAAATTGGCTAGAGCAAATGGATATTACCATTAATATGTGAAAAGGTCTAAGCTTTCACTCAATAATCGATCATTTAACATGGATAGACATAAACGCAGGTATCAATCGACCGGAAGTTCGGTCGCCCACATTGATTAATGACGCTTCCTAGTGTCGCACCAAAGTTGCCCATAATTAATCCATGCCACATTCAGCTAGTGTCACTGCCACAATCAATTCGAATCAAACTAATATAAATTTCCAATCAACAGGTCAAAATATGGTTTCAGAACCGCCGCATGAAGCAGAAGAAGCGCGTCAAGGAGGGTCTCATTCCGGCGGACATTTTAACGCAGCACAGCTCACCCGTGATAACTGAAAAGCAGCCACAGCAGCAACAGCAACAGCAGCAACAACAGCAACAACAGCCCGAGTTGAAGGCTTCCGAATTGGCCAGCAATGAACTGCCAGCAACAGCAGCAGCAACAACAACGACAGCAGCCAAACAGAGTTGAACAATTTCCATTGTTGCTGTTGTTGCTGCTGCTGTGCTTGTTGTTGTTGTTGTTGTTGTCGTTGTTCTTGTTTTTTAATATACCCTGTACACAAATCTATATAAAATAGGGCTTACTGGTTTTATGCAAACGTATGTAACAGACAGAAGAAGTTATCATTTACATTCTTGGTCGATCAAGCCCCGTCTCTCTGTCTATCTGTCAGTCTGTCTGTACGCCTGTCTGTCCGGCTGTCTTTATGAATGCATCAAGCTCAGACACGATTGGAGTTCGAGACTTCAAATTTGGAACGTAGCTCGCCTATGGCCGGCGTTCAAAAACTCGATGAGATTGGGTCTTTTGACTATAACCCTGAGCTTATAAGAGCTAGAGACACCAAATTTAGTATGTAGGTTCTCGTAATGTATAAACAGACCAAGAACATTTCACATTTTTGATACTTTAAAAAAGGAAGGCCATATTTCGTCCTTGGAAATCAATTGGGAAACGAACTATTAACGGTTGAGTTATTCAAGGGAAAGAAGAAGCACAGTGGCGAGGATCTCTGTGCCGTGTACAGGGTATCTCCTGGTCGGAAGCACCCGACTAGCGCACTCTTGTTTTTGTTGTTATTATTGCTGTTGTGTGAGAATTGCCAAATGTCGAGCGCATTTTGTTGTGATAAATAAGTAAATAAAAAAAGGCAAAAAGTAAAAGTAAAAAAAAAAACACAAATATATTAAACCTTAAATTAAAAATATTTTAATGTCGTACGTGTAGCCAATTAAATGAATACAAAAATGTGCATACTAAATAAATTCATTTGTAATTTGTACAAATCAACAAATCAAATACTAGCATCTGTAGAATCGAGGCGCCATCTTTTTAACGGACCTGTAAAAATACTAACTAGCCGTTGATGCTGCAGCTGAATGTTAGACTAGCATAAACTAAACTCAGGGTTATATATTACTACTTTCATACACTTAACTGTAGCACGCCGAGAAATTGACTTTCAACCAAAAAAAAAAAACAAAACAAAACAAGTACGTAAAACTAAATCAAAATCTATACGAAAGCTACGATAGCTAGAGGAGAATCGTATGCTATAGCTTAGCTCAATCGGAAACACATTGCATTATAATGTACTCGTACTCGTACTCGTAATCGTATGTAGTATGATTATTGTTTTACTATAAGCAATGCCTTCTACGATACAAGAAGAATAGTTATTCGTTTTGTGTTTGAACAAATTGGTATTCAATCTTGATGTATGTACTATATATATAGATATATTCTAGTCCTAACTGTAATATAATTATAACTGTACAACACAAAACATATATAAATAAATAAAATTATTTGAAAATTGTTGATCTTTAAGGAACATCTGAAAACTAATATTCCAGCTATAGCTATAACTCACAAATTTGATTAAAATTTTACATTTTGACTAGTTGACCTATCAATAAATGGATTTACTAAGGATGGTCCTCAACGATAGTATATGAATTTTACTATTCAAAAATGAAAAGAAGTGCTGTTTTTTCCAAAAATAATTTATATGTTGCAATAACTGTCCGTTCATGAAAAACAAATTTTCAATGTCATTTGTCACATAGACATTTAATTCTTATCAATATAATTTTGATGAATTAGGGGATTACAAAAAGACTGTATCACAGAAGTTCGCTTAAATCACATGTGTACAAAAATTTTAATTTTTTTTTTTTGGGGGGTATTTGCCGCTAGGCTACCTACTTTGAAATTTTGACTAATTTGAAAATATCGAAAAAACAGCAAAATTAATCAAATGCCTTCATCAAAGTCGGTTTGTATACTTGATAGATAGGATTTTAAGACTACATTAAAAATTGCTGATACATCGAACTCTATAAAGTACCACATGATTATTGCTATATTTGCATGGAAATATACATTTCCGCCACATTTACTCAAAAACTACGCTTAAAGTTTTTAATGCAGTATAACTTTGCAGAACAAAAATTAATTTACTATCATCTTGAAGAGTATACGACATATGAATATCAAATGTTTGCACGCAGAATCATTCCGGATCATTACCTTAGAAATTGCTTCTTCAAGTAAATAAGCGTTACGTAGATTGCTTGACCTGACCGACCCTCTTTCACTCTAACTTTCTCGGTCTCTCTCTCTTTTTTTCATTTTATTCATATTTGTTCCCCTGGTGTTACTCTAACCTGCTGTGTACCTTTTTTGTTCTCTTAATTTATATATAAAGTCTGGTTCCCTCCCACTATAGATGTTGATTATTTAAATAAACGAGCGGCATACTATCGAGTTAAAACAATGTGAGATATATCGATATATCGATTCTTCCACATAGTCTATTCACCAGGGCAGCAACAATTTGATTTAAATGAAAAAATCCAGTAAAGCAGAATAACAAAGCAAAATTACTTCTGCCTAATCAATGTAAGCCTCTCAATAGTAAACAGATAAATTAAATTTGAAAATTGTTAGCATAAACAATTTTTGCAAAGTAATATTGGCATATATTTAATACGTAAGCTGGCATTTTTGCAGTACCAAACTGCGGTAACACTGTATTGCGAATAAACAAGTTTTAAATATCATAATTCGAAATGTGGATATCGGAGAGTCTACGGGTCTCCTTGACGCCATTACAAAAAGTTCCTGTAAATATTAAGTATGGCTTTATGGGCACCAAATTTGGAAGGATATTGCTAGGTCTGACACCAATTGAAAAGGCCGGCAAAACCTACGACGCAATTTGCCTTTTGTATTTCGTGCAGAAGGACGATAGCAAGAGCCTGGAGGAAGTGCGCCGACGTTGGCCCAAGGTGGAGCTTGTTCCGGATGAAGTGGCCATACAAAAGCGCAGTAAAGGGCTGTTTAACGAAAACGTAAACACTGCTGTCATCGATGTAGCAGTTCTGGGCACAGATCTACAGTTGGCTGTGTGGGGTGAATTGGTCAAGATGAAAGCCGGCAGCACATGCACTTACACAGAGCTTGCCGTGCTAGCGGGCCGTCCCAAGGCTGTGCGGGCCGTGGCCAGTGCTGTGGCAAAGAACGAGATATCGATTTTAATACCCTGCCATCGGATTGTCTCCAAAAGCGGCGCGGTAAAATATGGATGGGGCGCAGATCTGAAAAGTGTCTTATTGGAACATGAAGCAAATACACCATAAATCGATCGGTTATCGGTTATTCATTTGGATACATAAGTATTTAAAAAATCGTTTATTGAAATTCAGCTCTGGACTCTTTAATTTGAACCTAATGTGTTGTTCTTCTGTGTGGGGGTGTCTTATAAAAAACAAAGTACAAATGCATATCATTTTGGATAGATCAAACTGAAATGCAAAAAGGCTCGAGATTGTGCAACATCCCTGGCATCACTATGCGCGCAGATCCTACTTAAATTGTAACTACAAATATAAACGGCTTCTATTCTCGATGCAGCAGAACAAATATTGCTAGAATCGAGAGTATAGCCCACTGTGAAATGAAAGATACACAATTATTTGATAGCTCAAAGCGCGGGGAAATCGATTTTGAACTCACCTTAACTTTCGGATATTCGTTCATGAAAATTGTGATGATGCCCACATAGGGCAAGAACCCCCTTGCACGCCCCACAATATCCTTTTTGGATAGCCATAGCTGGCCTGGCGCATATAGTCCTCGATCATCCACATTGTTGTTGTCGCCCTTGGTCAGGAACTTGACAGTGCCGTCTTCCCTGTTTGATACAATTTTCAATGAATAACTTTGCACACACACTCAAGCACAATAATTGGACGCACTTTTCGTGCACTTTAATCACACGATGCACAATGGGTATGTCTCGTCCCTCTACTTTGAACACCACAATCTCGCCCACGCGGACTGGCTCCTCCTTGTAGTTGGTGAGGAACAGCAGATCACCCCGATGAAATGCCGGCTCCATACTGCCGCTCAGCACGACCACAATTGGTGATTCGCTGCCGGTGACTACCATAAGGCCTTTCCATATCATTAGCGCCGAGGAGACTATCATAGCAAAGCTAAGCACTTGATAGAGCGACTAAAAATGGTTCATTTTTTTTTAGTATTTTACTAACAGGCGGCGTCTACGGTACTTACCTGGCGTTTATTCATTCTATTAAAATCGCCCAGCATTTCATCTACTTGCAACATGCTAGCTAAGCCCATGGTTGCGATTGTGTAATTGCTCCGTTTTTAAGAACAATTTGTAAAGCTAGATGGAAGCTTATGCAAAATTGCAAAAATACAATTTGAGGCCTAGTTCCACGAAGACAAAAATATGACAGGCTGTATAGCGCCGGACAGACGAAGCGTTGGTCCGACACGTCAGTAGGGATAGCAGTGTAACTAAATCGAATAAGTACTGAAATCCTAAAACTGCAAGCAATAAATACTAGAAACGCATGTAAATACTAAGGGAGTTTCATGTTAGTTACCAGACTTTCTGTTCGATAGGTTTTTTATTGCTATCGATTCGATTACTAAACAGCGGGTAGCGGTAACACAGGCATTACAGAATCATGTTAAGCATACCAGCTTGTAAAACTTCGATTTATTTCACGATATTTTGAAATATATATATATATATATATATATCGGTGCCGGTGTGCAAGCGTTGTTCACATATTATACAAAGTAGAACATAAGAAAATAAAATCTAGAATGGGTGATAAACTGTTAGACACTACACAAATTATAAATGGCTTGGCTGTGATGATATCATTTTTCGTCGGTTACAAATATGCCCTAAAACGTGGGGAAGCGTGCGCAAAAATTGACGACACTCCATCAACAGAGACGCAGGAGGGAGGCGCAGCTGCTGCAATAGCTGACAAGGTGCGTGAACGGGAAGACAACTCGCTTAACGCTCTCTGACATAAGGCGAACTTTATTTACAGACTTATGGCGGCTTTAATGACAACTATAAAATGGTACTGGTCGTGCGCAACGACCTAAAGATGGGCAAGGGAAAGATAGCCTCCCAGTGCTCCCATGGAGCCGTTGGAGCATACCAAAGGGCTACGACCCGTACGCCACGCCTGCTGCGTGCCTGGGAAAACTGTGGTTGTGCCAAGATTGCAGTTCGCGTCGAGAGCGAAGCCGAACTGATGGCCATCAAGCGGGCCGCGGAGCAGAGGCAACTCAACACATGCCTCATACGCGATGCTGGACGCACACAAATCGAGCCCAATTCAAAGACTGTGCTGGCCGTTGGTCCCGCTGCGGCAATTGACATCGATCGGGTGACCGGCCATTTGAAGCTTTTGTAATTCAATGCCCAATGCTTTGCAAGCTGCCTTTGCGAGTGCAGACAGAAACATATGAAACCCCAATTCTCGGAAAGCAATATAGGAGTATGTGGTGTGCGCAACCACAACGACGACTGTGACATGCAAGTTAATTTAGGATCCATACCTTTATTGCGTTTATCTGTAAACTGAGCTATTACATATTAAATTCTTTATGAAGCTTTTTTAATTGAGCTCAAGCCTCTCTTTTCGTTTAATTCTGTTGACTCTTCTTGCCCTCGCCACAATCCTCTATTGCCTCCTTTGGCACCTCCATCCACTTTTCGGGTATTACCTTGAACAATTCATCCTTCACATCGCCTTGTATGACAATCTCATTGTCGCCGGTCACCGAGGAGCCGCAGGCAAATTTACTGCCAAAAAACTTGGCCGCGGCTCGTAAATCGATCTTGAATGCGCCCAGGCCGGCCACAATGGTTACCCGTTTGTTCTTGCCACGCATCGTGCACGAAAGTCGAATGCGCTTAGGTGCATCATCATCGCTGTTGTCCTTCTTGATGCGCAGCATTCCTTTCCCGCCGCGCTTCTGGCGCTTCTTTTCGGCATCCACACCAGAAGCAGCATCATCTTCGGCCTCTCTCAGCTGCAGTTTCTCATAGTCTTCGGGATAATTCTTTGCCAGCCACTCCTTGCATTTGTCATACTCGGAATAAAACTCACAATACTCGATGGGCATGGAACAGTGCCCACAATACTTGACCGCAATGGGATATGTGACCTCCACTAAACCAAGGCACTCGCCTATATTGTTTTTATTCATGGCAAGCTCCTTTAAAGCATTCATTGTAATTTAAAACCAAAATGAATATTTTATTTTAGAAATTGATATTATACACGTAACTTGCTTTGAGTAACTTTTGCTCTAATTTCCAGTTGGTAGCAAAAATATAATACCGCCGTATGATTGTAAAAATATTTCAACTTTATGTAACCCATTTTGCAAAGCAATCCAATTACTTTAGATTTACTCCAGTTGAATGTAAAGACAACATTTATCGATATTATCAAAACTTTATGCACATATATCCACATACATATGTACATATGTATATTACCATTACATGATTCAACAAAAGTTGGCTTTATATATACAAAATTAAACGCCGAAAGATACATTTATTCGGTTTAGAAAAACAGGCAATCAGTTTTGGAAATTACTATTTTCGTATTAAATAAATACAAAAAATAGAATTGTAAAATGTATAATTCAAGAATAATCAATTATTTCTAAGATATATGACCTTTACATTGAGGTTCGCAATTAATCTTCATTCAAAAATAGAAATATTAAAGAACTATTTGACTTTTAATTGAATATTATAATTATAATCTATAAAGATGATTTTACTAAACACTTTTTACTTCAGTTATTCCAAATGTTTTGGGTGCACTCGTTTAACAGCATTTGTAAATCTAAAATTAATCTTGTTTGTTGAAAATATAAATTGTTAAGCCTTGCTCAGACAAGAGACAAGAGACACCAATTGTCGTAGACAATCAAGTTTGAAAAAATCATCAATATTGCAGTCAATGTTAATAAAATTAAATCCATTTGAATCTAAAAAGTCAACCAGTCGTAATCATTTTCGCCTTGTGACGGCGGCTGCTCCGTCTGCTGTTGCATATTTGGTTGTTGGGCGTGCAGCTGCTCGAGTTCCTGAGCGGGCTGGAAGTCCGACTGCTGCGGCTGATAGTCAACAGGCTGCACTGGCTCATTGGATGCATCCAGTAGATATATTTGCGATGGTTCCGAAGATTGTTGATGTTGTTGGGCAGCCAGTTCGGCATCATCGAATACCTCTTTCTTAATGCGCACACCGCCATTATCCTCATCGTCACTATCCGATATATCCAGATCCTCATCGATGCCCATGCCATTGTCATTACTCGTGGAGGGCATATCTTCTTCCTGTGCAGACATGTTGGCGGCTGCAGCACTGGTGCTGGCCTCGGGCGGATTATACTGTCCACTGTCGTCCTGAACCTGGGACATGAAGTCGGAGAAGGCACCCTGTGCATTGTAGGTTTCGCCGAAGCTTTGGCGCGGCTTGTGCATGGCCAGGAAGTCCGAGGGATCATAGTTGGGATCTACATCCATAGATTCATCTGAAAAATCGAAAAAAAAAAACAATTAACTACGGTTATAGACGGGTTTCAGGAAGGTTATTCGAAATATCAAGCCGTGCGCTTTAACTATGACTATATTAAAAAAGAACATTGAATTGGGCAAGAGAATTTGTGGGTAATATGAACCTTGCTGCTGTTGAGCGTAGTAGCCAATGCCACTCAACTGCACCATAGCTTCAGCCGCTTGCTGGCTGTCATCCTCGCCGCATTGCTCCTCTATTATTAAACCAAAAGTAAATACGTGAATGTAGAAACAGAATCGAAGCACACAGATGAAAACATTTAGATTGAAGATTTAAAGTTACGTAAAATTACATTACAAATAGATAATCGTATATATTCAAAGATTAGAAAAACACGCAAAAAACAACACACAAGACTGTGCACACCTGAGCATCGTTGCCCAAATAACCCACCTGCCATCTGCTGTGCCTCAATGTCGACCTCTGTCTTGATGTTCTTGGGATCAATATAGTCCATGGTATCGCTGGGCGCATGCATGCGCTCGCCCTGATCCAATATGTGGGCTGCATTATTCTCATCTTCGGACACCTCCTGAAAGTCCTCCTCATCATCTTCATCATCGTCTGTCGAGCATTGCAAATCTAACATTTCGGTTACGAGAAATGAGAAGTAAGAGCATTAATATTGGAATGCTTTCAAATGATATTTAACCAAAAAACTGAAAGAAACTTGAATGCAAAATAATTAAATTAAAAATTAAATTAATCAAATTGTATTAAATATTTTTAAGAGCGTATGCATTTTTTGAAACAAAAAATGTTTTGTAAAAATAAAAGAAATTTATTGAATTGAATAAGAATTCAAAATGTTTTTCGGGAGTGCCGAATTCCCTAAGAAAAGTTTTGCCAACATTTTGGGGAATTATTAATGCTGATTTTTCAATAAATAAATCATTTACTTTTACAAATTGATCAAATTTAGATATCGAATCAATCTAGAGAAGCATGACTAATAAAAATTAATTTTTCAAAAGAAAATAATCAAAATTTTACGACAAGCTCTACAGATGTGTAAATACCTCAAAAAATATTTAATTTAAGAATTGTTAATAAAAAAAAGTGTGCTGCAAGGCAAAAATTAAATCAAATACAAAAACTAAAAAAAAAATTCAAAATTAAAACTCATAAATATTTGATAATAATTTGTAAGAATTCTAAAAACCTTATTATGTAAATTCAAATTTGATAAATTTATTATATTTCTTTAAATAATTATTGAATAAGCCAAATCCAAACCAATGCAAAATTTAGTATGAAAGCTTTAGTAGGATACGTGTGAATGCTTTGAATGTGTGTAAAAAGTTGTTGAAAAAAACATGTTTTAAGTTAATAATAATCATAAAACGATTGTGTGTGCGTATGTGTGTGTGTGTGTGTGTGTGTATGTGATTGTGCGTGTGTATTTGTGTGTGTGCGCGCGGTTTTTAGCTGTGGTCCGCTTAGTTTCTTAAACTCCGTATAAGTCTTACCTTCGTCCAGAAAGTAAGCTTGCGTCTGACTCATATTAGAGCCAAGGCTGTCCTTTCGGGGACGGCCCCGACCACGTTTAACCATATTTGGGTTTTTGACTAGAAAATAAAAGTTTTGCATTTGCGTTTTGCAAGTTTTGTATTTGTATAGGGTATAAACGAGTAATTAGAAAACATTTAAATCTGCTTGCAGTTATGAAAATAGAATTTCTTGTATTTAGCTTTTGTTGCTTTGAATTGAACAAACAAAAATGTTGACAATCAAATAATCACGAGCAAGTAATTGCATTATCGTTAAACAGCGAGCACATATACATTGATTTAAAGCAATTTGCAGTTTCTGGTTTTCTCTTTAACGGGTTACAGTCGAGTGAAGGACGTGTATTTTACCTAAAATATTGCTATTATATCGCTGCACACAAGAAAATATGGGTTCGGGGGAGCTGACATTGATGAGTGAATTTATGTACGCCTTTATCCAACAACTTGTATAAGCTTATATGCAATTGAATCTAAAAGTAAACTGAATACCAGCATCTAACAAAAATTAACTATAAATCCTAATCTAAAGACGTGAATGGCTGTATTTGGCTGAGAATTCTAGGCAATAAATCTAGAGCCCAGCGGCGGTTCAAAAATAAGTGTTCGAATAAACGAGTCACCAAAGCCAAAGATACTCATTCAAACGAGGCTCGATCAACTCGAGTAAGCAACGTGTTCGAATAAACGAGTCACCAAAGCCAAAGATACTCATTCAAACACTGTTTGATAAGATCGAGTAAGCAACATGTCCGAATCGGCGACTACTAGAGTCAAATATATTCATTCAAACGAAGTTCGACCAGCTTGAGTAGCAACATGTTCGAGCTACCCGGCAATGCAATCGTCGTAGCCAAGGCGCCACAATTTATTTTTTTGCCAATTCGAAATTATACAAAAAAACCAGTAGCTCGCACACAATTTAAACAGTCGATTTTGGAGTGAGCTCGAACTAATTTTCTTTACTACTATCCATCTACAGGAATATGGTTTTTCATGTGTATGGGACTAATATATTTATATATATATAGTATTACTACATATATAACAGCACGAACATTAACTATATATATATAACATATTGTATATGAACAATGAACAACTAAAATGTCTAGATTGTATTGTAACATGTGAAACAAAAGCATTTAAGATATTTTTACTTTTTATAGTCTCTGTTTTGTATTTTTTTGTAAACTAAATAACTAGATACTAATTAAACAGATATAATTTTAATAGTTGTCTGTTGCTTTGTATTTTTGGATTAGTAAAAGTTTTTAATTTGAACAAACGCTGTAGACCATAACCGGAGGATCATGTGTATGTATAAGCACATACATATATATATATATATATATATATGTATGTACGTATATATGATGCAAGGAGCATATAGAAGAAGCATAAGCATTACCAAAAGTAAACAAGACCAAGGAGTATGTACGTGTGTATGTATGTATATATGAATTGATGCATGTGTACAATGCAAGACCAATTCCTGAGTAGGCCTTTTGATCGTATTAGTTCAATATGATATCGTATTAGTTTATTATGATATAGCACAAAGCATTCGCTGGACATACCCTCTTCCACGGGATCGCGTTGCTTGCGCGGACGACCACGACCGCGTTTCACCTCGCTACCTGCTGGCATCGTTGGCCTACGCATTGGCGTCGTTCCATGGGACAGATTGTTGTCCGCGCCCATGCTGCGATGTATCGAATTGGGTGTAATCAGACCCAGTCCGCCGTGGCCCTCCACGTCAATGTAGTCATCGCCGGGCGAGCTGGCGCGACTGCGACTCAAATCGTAATCATCATTGCCCCAGGCCTCTTCAAATTCAGGCGCATTTGCCCTGGCCCGCTCCTGTGTCTTCATGATGTTCTCCTCCAGCTGAGCGCAGTGCTCGGCAAACTTAATGAGAGTGTGTTTAAATAGTTGAATAGCAAATCCTTTGTTTGAGTTGTCAAAGTACTTACCTCCTCCAGCTGTGAGTGGGCATACTCAACCATCTTCTTGGCAAACTTGGTGTACTGCGCCTCGCTGCCATTGTACTGCTCGCAGTTGGTAGCAATGAGCTCTATATCGGCCAGATAATCGGCGCGACTGTGATAAGTGTGATCTGCAAAATACATTAATTTACTAATTGGGCTCGGAATAATATGGAGTGCTAATGATTTGACAGCCAGAAAACAGTCTTTTAGCCTGTGCAATAAAATCATAAGATCTCTACCAAAACTCAATTGATATTCGATGTATGGAAGATATATGAAAGATAAGATAATATCGCTGTCTCACGTGCCAAATCAATAAAAATGTTGCCAAAGACAAAAAGAAATTGAACTAAATTTCAAATGATTCTTCTTAGGAGAGCTTGAATAGTACACTAGTCCGAAGGTTCACTTCTGACAGATAGTTTCTGTGATAGCCACTCGATATGATAATCCTATATCAAACAAATGTTCCAAAGGTATTTAAATGATGAGGCCTGTAAATAGCATGCTTGATCAAGATTAAAAACAATCAAGAGTGCTCTAACCCAGCGCTGAGCTGGTATTACAAATGGTATACCTCCACCCACATCCCATAATTTAAGTCTCCAGCTCTCATGGTTACCGAGAGCTAGGCGTTCATATAGACAAACAGACAGACAAACCAGACATGGCTCAATCGAATCGACTGTTGATGCTGATCAAGAATACTTTATGGGGTGGGAGATGTACTCTTCAGCCTGTGACATTCATTTGATTAATAACAGTCATGTATAAGTAGAACCTCTGCCAAATTAAGAGACTATTTTGCATGCAAACAAACAGAAATGGTTATATTAATTTGTCTGTTAGTGCTGGTAAAGCCTATATATAACATATGTCATCTTTATATCCCCTGCAATAATATAATATACTATAATACAGGACCTGCTTGCACAACTTACTCTCAATGTTCTTGCCGATAGTTTCCAAATCCATTGGCTTCTTGATAACAGTGTAGTAATCCTTGATTGCCTTCTTGTTAACCGGCTTGTGGAAGGGCCAGCTCTCGGATTGTGTTTTAACCTGCGTGTGCAGCTTGTCAAAGATGAATGACAGTGCCACCTGATCATCATCATCCAGCAGCGGATTGATGGCCTTCTCGAGGCGCATCAATTTGTCTTCACGTTCCGACAGCAGCTCAAAGCAGCTGTTAAACATCCGCTGAGCGGCCACCGTGTAGGCGCTCTGGGAGCCATTGTATATCAGCGAGTTGTCCACGATTTGCTTTAGATCCTCGAGGAACACCTCGCGGCTAGTGTAGCGACGCTGGCGAATATACTCGCGCATTGTCTGCAGATCCATGGGCTTGGTAACCACACGATAATAATCTGGCACGCGTTTAGCATTAACTGGAAATAGAAACGGCGAAACATCTGGCATGGAGCGCAGCTCGTTCAGTATATGCTCCAATATGGAGGAGAGCACCACAACTGGATCGGTGCGCCGGCGATTGGCAGTTTTGTTGTGACGCTGCAAATAGTCGCAGTGCACATCGTTGGCCATGCGACGCTTCTTCTTGCCCATGGCATCCCTGGGCACCTTGAGCGTGAGGCCGCCACGGCGCTTGAAATCGTCCTGGACTTGGCTGTGACGTTTGAGCACCTTGCTGCTTAGTGTAACCTTGGTGCCATCGACATTGACCAGATCATCGTCATCCATATTCATTTCCTTCTCGCTGTGCTCGTCCATATCATCGGCCAACGAGGGATTCGACTGCGACAGACTGCTCTGCATGCCCGTGTACAGCGGACACGCCTTGTTGGTGCGCATGTGACCCACCTGGCCGCAGGCGCCGCACTTGAGCTTCAGGTCCGGCTTCAGCTTGAACTTCTTGCGCGACGGACTGACCTCCTTGTGGCTATTATCACGCTCCTTATGCGCATGCCCGCCCGAGCTCTTGGGATCGCCCAGTGAAGTGGGCATGCCGCCTGGCTGTAGCTTCTGATTCTGAGCCAGCTGCGCTAGACGCTCGCGCTCCTGGTTGCGCTTGATGCGACGCAATTGCTCCTGTATGCGCCGCTTCTCTCGCTTCATCTCCTCCTTTTGCTGCTCATCCAGTGTGGCAAACTGTTTGATGAACTGCTCATCTTTAGTAGTGCGTATCTTTATATACGCATCGATCACCGCCTGGCGACGCACCGTCTCCACTCGCGTGTACTCCTTGCCGTCGTTGCCCTTGAAGGTGCGCGTTATACGTAGTATTCGGCCCTGGTTATTGTTGGCCATTGGCTGTTGTGAGGCATCATCTTTGGACTTGGCCGCCTTGCTGCCACTATCTCCCTGTTCTTCTTCCAGCTGGCGCAGCAATTCCTGACGCTCCTGCTCCTCACGTTCCAAAGACAGCTGTGTGGATGTCTTCTTATTGGCCAACATATTCTCGAGATTCTTTCCCAGCTCCTCCAGGTCAGACTCCTCGGAGGCCGAAGACTCGTCCTCATCGGTGGACAGAACCTCAGAGCTGGCGAGCACACGATTCTGTAGATCAAAGATGCGCTGACACTCCTCCTTGTAGCGCTCCTGATGCTCGGCTATAGAGAAGCGGTTGCCACGCGAAAATTTATCCATTCCCTCCTCGCCGGCCTTGGCCTTCTCGGTGGATAAGGTGCGCACCACATCGATGACCTCCCAGCGAGTAAGCTTTTTGATCTCTTCCTCGGGCACTTTGAACTTTCGCAGCAGCTCCTTGGCCCGCTGCAGCGGCAGGCGACGCAAATCGGCATCGGTGCCGGTCACCGAACGCTTCGGCTGCGATTCCTGCTCCTCTTTTGTTTGCTGTTGGAATATAGCCATATATAAAAGCCTTCAATTGCATATAATACCAATTTCATACCGTGGGCTTGTTGGGCACTCGCACATAAGAGAAGCCTTCGCCGCATCCAGTGGGATCCGCTGGTCCGCTTAGCTGCAGCAGGCACTTGCCGCGCATGGCCTGTATATAGGCGCGTGTAGTATTCCAAGGCGCCACCTTGACCTCATCATCGAGCAGCTGCGCCTCCTCGTCATCATCCTCCTGCGGCGCAAACAGCGATTTCTCACCATAGCCCGCATCCTGTGACATAGTTATAAGATATTCCATTAAAACTCAATGAAACGTCAGTGGACCCAGCTCACCTTCAGGCGCTGCTCGGCCGCAATCATGCTAAAGTAGGCACAGCACTGCTCCGGCGACACCATGGCTCGAATTTCCTCCTCAGAGGGCAGTCGAAACTCTGGTTTGATGACCCACCAATTGGAGTCCATGCCCGTGCGCTTGAAATCTGCACATTGCTTCAGCCGCTTGCGTATGCTGCTCTCCGAGTGAGCCGGAAAGGCGCGCTTCACATCATCCATGCGTATGCGACGCGGATTGTCGCGACTCTTCCAGAACAGGCGATAGATAAATACCTGGGAGGTTACATTAATTAAATAGAATTTTAACAAATCTTTAATCCTTGCTCTAGCAAACCTGCAAGAAGTCTCGCGTAAAATTGTTGGCACGCTTCGAGTTGGGTCCCGGCACCTCGTACAGTGGACACTCCTGACCAACAGTAAAGACGGCATTCACAACACGAATCCAATAGCTATTGCGCGTGCGTATAATCAAGAAATCAGTGGGCGACATTTTGTGCGGATAGATGGGCGCGCGGTACATATTATTCTCGAGTGCTTGGATGCACTGACCCGGATGGAGTATGCCCAAAAATGGACTGGTATGGGCAAAGGCCACTTCACCATAAACGTAATCCTGCGGACCACTATCCTTTTCGGCCTTGCGCTTGTAGTAGTTTTTGATTTTGGAGCACATGCCCACTTGATTCATAAGCGGCGGATGCTCCTCGCAAAACTCGGCCAGTACAATATCACCATCCTTGCCGCTCAGATCTTCGGGATTGCGCATGAAGAAGACGTCGCCGCCACCAGAAGCAATGCGTTCTACCTCGCGTTGTTTGGCCTTCTTAACAATGTGCTTGAGCAGCGGATAGACCGGATGCGGCATGATCTGTGCGAGGGGTCCGTGCGAGAATTTCTTAAGCGGCGGACGATGGAAGGCGCGCAGCTTCATCGGACCCATGTGCGTGGGCACAAATGGAGCGCGCAGCTCCACAACTGGCGTCGAGTGCTGTATGAGATTCCCACCGCCCACTTTAAGGCGAAGTGTGGGCTCAGTTTTGGGTGTGTAGTAACTGCAAAGAACAATTGATAATATGATAAACAGTGCACACGGACACTATTAACTGGCTGTTCCTTACGAATCATTGGATATGTTGAAGGGATCGCGATCTGGGCTCTTTGGCGGGGGTGGGGGCGTGTCCTCGGCAAGCACATTGATGACGCCCGCCTTGCCAAGCAAAATCTTTGATTTCTTGACGTGCGGATGCGGTATCTTAATCTTGGGCGGTGGTCCAGTGTTCTTGTTTATCTTGGACGGATCAATATCATCGGGAATGCCAAGTATAATGTTCTCATCATTGGGATCCAGAGTCAACACTTTGGGCTTGGGGACCTTGTTCATCTGCTGGGCATCCCAAATCACCTCATCCTCCCACTTGTGGTAGATGAGCTCCTCATTCTCCACGGGAAACAGACTGTACCAGGTGTCGTCTTGAGCCTCCACCTGTTTGTTCTGCGCAGCACTGTGAATAGAAAATATAAACGATCAACCAATTGCAACCAATTACAAAATGCACAAGTGCAACCCACCTCTGAAGCGCTTTTTTAGTTGATCCACCAGAGTTCTGTTTGCCGCTGTTGCCGCCACTGTTGCTGCCGCTGTTGCCCACTGGCAGAGCAGACTTGCCCGGCTGACTGAAGGCGCCTGCTGTGCGGGAGCCGCTCGAGGGAAGCCAGCCAGCGGCATTGGTCTTTGAGTTAAGTTTCTGCAGCACCTTGGCCTTAATATCGTTGCCATCCCAGACGACATCGTCCTCCCAGTGCAATTGGGAGACCATGAGAAAGGCATCATCTGCAATGCTTTGATCCTGGGCGACATCGGTAGCCGCACTGGCTGCTGAGCGATCGCTGTTGAGCTTGGACAGCGCCGAAGATGTCTTATCCTGCTTGGTCTTGAAGCCGTAGTTGAAGCCCTCACCCGAGTCAGGCACCTCCAGCATATCGTACCAGATCTGTGCGGGTCCATAGCGCCAGTCAGCCACCTTGGGCTTCTGATCGCTGTTCTCGCCATTGTCCGGCCCCTCTTGACGCACATCCACGCTGTTCAGATCGCTGAGCAACTTGTCCTCATCATCGGACATGCACTGTGCCGGCGATGGCTCTGGTCCAAAGTGTATGCCAAAACCGCGTCTGCGTGGCTCCTCCGTATCGCTGGGCGAGTCCGAGCCGCCTGTATTGGTTGTCTTTTGATCGCGCGATTGATTGCGCTTGCGGCGACGCTTTCGCACATGTCGCCAGATCTGAGGCAAGCTGGTCGGCTTGCCCGGCCCGAATAGGCGTGAAAAGCGTAGCACCTTCTGTGGCCGGAAGTCGGGAAACAGCTCGCAGACGTCGACATTTTGGTATTTGGATGGCAATATGTCCGCTAACGGAGTGTCCAGACGGCGATCTGCCTCGGCTATTCAGAATTAAATATTTTACATTTAATTACATGCGATTATATGTTAATTATACTATATCTACTATATCTACTATATATACATGACTGATTGTGGACAGAAATTTGTTTGCTTAGGGAAATTTCTCCCGTAACTGTGGAAAATTAGTTGCTTGACACTTCATTGGTCTTCATTCGATTGACTTCAAACTCATATTATAGATCTTCGTGAAAATTCATTGGAGACGTGTTTCACACTTTTCGGAACATCCACCCCCATGAATGGAAAATGCGGGTGAAAGATAAATTTTCATCCGATGGGCTTCAAACTTATTTCCAAAGCTTTATACACAAAAAATGAATAAATATGTGTTTCACCACCCACAAAGATCAAATAATCTACGGAAAACGATTCATTTTGTTTTTCATCCGATCAAAGCTCTACACGAATCATTAATAATTACTTATGAACTGACTTTTGATTTTCTTAAAAATATATTGCCTGGGCAAAGCTGGTATTACCTTTGGCCTCACTAGACTTCTCGTCGGTGGAGCTAGATCCATCAGCAGAGCCTGGTTTAGTGGGTGACTCCTCGTTGCCCGAGGACGGTGCACTGGCACTGCGCATAGGCGCACTCGGCGGCGGCATTAGCTCCTTATCATCTTTGTCTGTAAGCGATTACAACTACTAAACTGAATCTTTGATCATGCTTCTGGGCACTTACTGGACTTTGCCTCCACCTTGGTAGCTGGTATGGCATCTTCCAGATCGTCATACGTGGAGGCAGGGGTTGCCGCTTCATCTGATGGCTGTGACGGGGGCGACGGCGTGCGTGGGCAATCCTCGGATAGTTCGTTTATATCCGAATAATCAATGGCATCATCCTGGGCCTTGATTAGGCCATCCTCGTTTGTCTCGCTGTTGAGACCAGCCTTCAGGGCATCAAAAGCGCTCAGTCCGTCAGCGGACTCTGGCACAGGCTTCTCCTCAGGGTCCTCATCCGAATTGGCGCCACCATGCTGATCAATAACCTCGTTCAAAAGTGAATTGAGTCCCAATCTAAAATTTTCAGCACACATGTACAGTCGTAGTATATGGGTTTACATAGAGAAATCTTACTTTGACAAAGAGCTTAGATTTTCACGCAACTCAGCATCGAATACATGTCCCCTGTCATCATCATCGTCCACTAGCTTGCCCTCCGAGTCAATATTACCAAACAATATACCGGTCAGATCAATGCCCATATCATTTGCAGCGTTGCCGCCAATGGAGCCCTCATCGCTGTCGTTGTCCGATGCGGTGTCCATACTTCTTATGTGTTGTGCTTAGCTTCTACTGTATATTTCGAATTGCTTGGCTAACACATTCCACATACTTTATATGTACGTGGGCGATGCAATCATTAATATCAATTGCACCTTCACTTTTATTTTGCTTTTTATTTTTTGGTAAGAAAATTTGTGCTCTTTAATGCAATGTGGCAGTATTTAACATATGTGAAAATACTCCATTTCTGAGTCGATTACCGATAAATTGTCGATAGCCGCGGTCAAACTGTTAATAGCAGAAATGACTACATGCATTATTTAAGACTCGAACCCATGTGACCTAAATTGGTACAGAAATCCACATCCACACTGTTATATTCATCGATCATACACAACAGGTGATACAAGTTTGAGTTTAAGAAATTTACAAAATAGCCAATAACAATTAAATAATGTCGTATAATCAAGTTTGGGTTGTTAGTTGTTAGTTCTTATAAGGCAGCCAATACATTTGTTGTACTTTTTGGTTATAGCCCTTAAGGGAAATTTTAATAACACAATAGCTGATGGACTGATACAATGGTACTCATCCATCTGTAAGCAACAGATGTGTGTTAGCTTAGACGTGAACCTATCTGTCCCAAATGTCACGGGTGACATTACACCCAAACTACTGTTTTCTCCGATCAGCAATTCCCGTTGAGCTGAAGACATGAAATAATAATAGTAGCAAACATTTGTATTTTGTCACAAAATAAAAATAGAAATACAGCGCTTACCGCTGTTAAATACAATCCAATCAAGTAAATGTTATGCACGCTGTTATTATATCCCTAATGGGAAATTTTAAAAGCGCAACAGCTGTTTGGCGTTCGCGGCGGCACTTTTATTGGCCAAGTTCACGAAATACAACAAGCAAAAAATAACTGTTATTGCAATGGAGGTGGAATTTAGCAAGGAAAACTTTTTACTGCCCGAAATGAAATATGAATGTGAGTAACCATTGTTAGTCAACTTGTGGATACTAATTGTTAAAACTATTTGTTGTTCTTGGCAGATTTGGACCACACAGCAGATGTGCAGTACGTAGCCCACGTTGCCGGCGCCAAGTAGCTTAGAGTAAAACATTTCTTCCCTTTTTGGCAGATTGCACGGTTGGGGCACAACGCTGCAGGAAGCATTCGAGCAATGCGGCGTGGCCATGTTTGGCTACATGACGGAGCTGGATTATGTCTCGGTGGAGACGTGCTACGAGATCGAGGCCAAGGGCGATGACATCGAAGGGCTGCTGTTTCATTTTCTAGACGAGCTGCTGTTCCTGTTTTCGGCAGAGCCCTATTTGGTGTGCAAGAAACTGGAAATCACAAAATTCGATCTGGATAACTTCGAGATTGTGTGCCGCTGCTATGGCGAACCCTTCGAGCTGGGCAAACATCCGCAGGGCACCGAGGTGAAGGCAATCACATATTCGGCCATGCAAGTGGTGCAGGACGTGGAGCACAGCCACTACGAAGTGTTTGTTATAATTGATATTTGAGTGACGATCGCGACGCGGCGAGAGACCAGAGACGTTAAAGGTATTAAATGAGTTTGACATTATTGTTGTTAGCTTAGCCGAACGCAATTTGCATTTGTGCTTGTGCCCCCTTTGTTCAACCCTGTCTCCATTAATCATAAGTGAAATGCCCAAAAACGATAAGAAAAACAATATACAAATGTACATAAGACATACACAAGACTGCGCCGAAAATTTGCAATCTTTTGCATCCCAAAAAAAAAAAAAAAGAAACCCCTAGGGTTGCGCTGGAGCTGAATGACTTTACAAGAAGCATTCAATTTGTGTTGCGGCCGCAAATGCAATTAGAGATCTGTGCTACCCTTTCCCTTTTTTTTTTTGCTTTGTGAATTGGCAACGTGCTTGATTCCCAGCCAACCCTCTTGATTATCGTGTGCATTCCCAGACTGCAGTTCAATGCACTGTCTCAAAAAAAAAACTCACCTTTGCGTTTTGTCTTAAGACTTTAAGCAAATGGCAAAACTCATATCCAAAATGGAGTCAACATTATTATTATAATTTGTTCTATGCCTAGGTCCAAACAAAAAAAAAAACGAAACTTAAATTGAAAAATTAAAATTCGTTGGCAACAGTTGACAACCATAGCAATGCTGCCAACTTGCCTGCCAGCTTTGCATGTTAATAAACAGACTTGTTAACATGCGTGCCTAACAGCTGTTTCAGCACAGCTGATCAACAGCTGTAAAATGTAAACAACAAAAACTGCGCGCCTCTCACGTTTTGGTTGTGTGTGCGTGCTTATGTATATGCTTGCCTCATTTTGAGTTCATGTGTACCAATTAATTTTGCATTAAATTTGATGGCAAATTAATACCTGAGCTGATATTATGGGTAACATTTAAATTAGCACAATAGTCGCGGCATTGATGAGCGCAAAAGCAACGCTGTGTGTATAAGAAAGTGTGTGTAAAAGAACAAACAAAGTATCAAAAGCAAAGCAGGCAATAAAACACGTACGACGACTACGACACCAATACCAATGCACAAGTTGCTCATTTCTCGCTGTTGGTAAAAACGCGTCGCGTACGCGAGTGCTCCAAAAAAGTTAATATTGGCTTCACAATACACAGGTACACTCGTTCAATTTTAATTGAATATTGCCGAAAGTGCGCTTCTAGACTTGAAGCCCTTTTGGCCCGTTGACTGTAAATTCACAAATCGACACCAACAAAAGCAGCATTTGCCGTAACGTCATCATCGCCGCAGCGGCCGCACTTCGCTGCTGTTGCTTTTCAATTCGCTTGTCGCCGCCGCCGCCGCCGCTTGCTCGCCTCTCTTTCTCACTCACTCTCTCTCGTTCATTCTTTCTGCAGCCACCAATTGTCATGGTGTCGAAGAGGAAGCATTAAAGCACATTTTGATTTTATAGTTTTTAGGCTCCGCTTTTTACGTAGAAATCGTGCAGCGAGCGGCATAAAACTAGACACAATTAAATGATAAAATTACAAGCTTCAAATTGAGATCGAAACCAAGTGTGTGGCTTAAGTAAAAGTGTGTGAAAAACGTGGCAGAAAAATCTATATCGCAGGCCATAGAGGAACGACAAAAATGTGGGTAGGTATGTACATATGTATGAAATAGTATTAGAATGTAGAGGCTGCGAAAAATGTGACGTCCGCATATACAAGCGTGCGTTCGTGAGTGTGTGTGTGTGGGTGCTGCGCTGGGCATTTTCATTTTTGAGCAGCACCATGCCAGGCAATGCCGGCCGACCAGCTGACGCGCAGCTGCTTAAAGGAAAAAGGAGTTCACCGAGCGGCCGGCAACATTACGACTTCCTCTTGAATGCTCAATTTATATAATTACATACATATGTATATTTTTTATTGCTGTGACAAAGCACGATCTGCATTAAGTATATGATTTGTTGGTTTTTTTTCTCTATGTGGCAATACTGGTCACGCTGCCCACTTCCCGATCCATCAACCTGCTGCTGCTTCTTGCCGCTTAATGGTCTTGCTGCCTCTTTCTCTTATGCTGGTGTTAGGTGTGCGCATATACGCGTATACTTTTGTGTGCATGTGTGTGCGCGCGAAACTAACGGCTTTATAACTGAACAAACAACTCCCAATTCATTGCCTTGGCGATGACGTCACATTTCATTTGCATTTCTAATTAGAATATTGGCACATGTAATTCTACAATTGGTGCTTGGTGTGAGTGTGTGTGTGTGTGTGTGTGTGTGTGTAACACATAACATTCATTGAGCTCTGTAAAAAGCAGCTCGAATGTATGACATGTATATTTAACAGAAGTTTACTTTTATAAGTTAAATATTCATATTTCACATTTTGCTGACCCACTTAATTAAATTATGCATTTTTTAGTTTTTAACCGGGTGTCTCTAAGAGGTGGCTTCCAAAAATTAAATACTTTATTTTCAATGCAAAATATTAACATTTAAAAAAAATTAATTTTCAACCTATTAATTTGTATGGGAGCTTTACGATATATAAGCCCGATGCTCAGCAGTGAAGCTCGTAAAAAGTTGTATATACCAAAGCTCAATTCTCAAGCTCCATCAAAATAGATCGAACGCCGAGACTGGGCTTGCCTAGTAACAGACTGACAGACAAGGCTCTAACGACTCGGCCGATACTAATTAAGAGTATATACTTTATAGATTAGGAGATGATGCCCACAATGTGATGGCCAGGGTATAACCAATAAAAGTTGTTGTGCATGCCTCTAATTCTCAAACTGTTTAAGCCTTAAGAAGCTCTCTAGCTGTTAGGTAATTGGTAAATAATACTATTGCTTAACTAATAATATTTCGATATGCAATGAAATAGCAAATGCTTCGAATTGAACATGTTTTGTTTAGCTGTTCCCAACGCATTCGGCTGTCTTATCAGCGTATCAATTAACCCAGATATGGTATGAAACGCGGAACCTCTGGACTTACACCTGATAAGAAGCAAGTTTGACTTTCAAACCATGGTTATGGCGAATTCACTTGTTGCTTTAAAAGCCCAGCCCCGCAATACATATGCCCCCCCCCCCCCCCCTTCCCACACAATAATGTATAGCTCACCTTTCATTTTATTGTATTTTGTCGCGTCTGTGGTGAGGCGAAGACGAAGACGAAGGCGAAGGCGACGTCATCATAGTTTGATGACCTCCACACGACGCTGCGTCATCGGTTTTTGGTATTTGCAGTGGTCAAGACAGCGGTGGGTAATAGCAGGGAGGGTTGGGGTTGGGTTTCGGCAGCAGATATTGTAACTCTTCTTGAGTCTGCATATTTTTGGTCACAGAGTTGTGCTTCTTCTTCTGCTGCTGCTGCTGCTGCTGCTGCTGCTGTTGGCCTTCACTTCTTTAGTCGGCTTTGTGAACCAGTTGCTTCTTTACCTGTTCTCCGTTTGGTATACACACAAATGTTGAGATTTCTTCTGCTGCTGCTTCTTGCCATTTTGCGCAGTTGCCTTTTGTACACACAGCATATTTATATACCTAAATATATATACATATGTATATATATATATATATTATACATGCTTAGCGCACAGACGCAACCATATCCGATATATTATTACGGAAGCAGTGATTTGTGCTTTTCATTCTGTTTCTTCATCGGCTTAGGGCATTGTCCATTATCGATAGCGATTGCAGTGTCCCTTTTTATAGAAACCTCTGACTTATGTTTAATTCGTCACTTTTTGTTGGTTTCTTAGCAGAATTGTTGTAGCATAGAAATCTAGTCAGATAGAAATGCAGCAGGCAGAAATCGTTTCCAAAATCAAGTTCAAATTGAGGTCGACAATAAATACAAAAAAACATAACAAAGGTTGTATTATTAATGAGAATCTTATAATCTGTATTCCCTCAGAATATGATCTTTGGATCAGTTAGCTATAAATGTATGAACATTAAAATGTTATCGATGAGGAAATCTAATTAAGAATCTAATTGATAAAACGTATACAAAATGTTACTTGTATGTTCTTAATGCGAGGAATGCTCATTGAGAGCCTAATTTAATAGTTTTTCATATACTAGCCAGCCCTTATCATTACCTTATATTGCTTATAATACAATTTTTGTTAAATTTTTATTATCAATTTTGTTGGTTTCTCAGTTATCTGTCTACAGTACTTTGCCAACGAGGCATGAAGGTAATTTTCATCAAATATAAAGAATACTTATTGCAATATACAATATATTTCGAACATGTATATTGTGTATAAAATCTGTCAAAGCATGTGGAAATTCTAAAACTAGTTTCCAGTCACATTTTCAGTTACAATGTGGCAGGCAAAATGTGGCTTGCTTCGCAATACATATGTATTTGTGTATGTGCAATGTGCTCAATGAAATTGATAAGCGACAGCCTAAAAATACTCGTGCATTAGTTATCGCGGCCAGCCGATCTGGCAACGCCAAATGGAAGCACCCAAAACGGGCTTTTACAATTCAAATCCAAATCTGGTAATTAGTATACAAATGGCGCACTTGCTTTAAGCAATCAATTTCGGGTAACCAATATACAAAAAAAAAAAAAGAGCCTTCGCATTTGATTTTGATTTTGATTTTTTTTTTTTAATTTTAGTCTCTCGTGTCGTGTCGATCGTATCGTGTTTGTTTTTATCATATATTTTATGTATTTGTGGTTGTTGTTGCACTTTTTTTTTGTATAACCCGGCCGCGGCGAAGCTCAGAGAGAAAGACAGAGCGAGAGGGGCAGAGTGAGATACAAGTCCCCCCACAACAAAACGCATGAAAATACTTGAGCGAAACGAGTTAAAAACGATTTCATTAATATCTTTTTGTTGCCTTTTGTTGTTGGCATTTTTTTGTCGTTTTGGGTCGCTTTCTGCTAACGATACCCTTACCTCTTGAGCATGCCGCATTCGTATTCAACTTTGCCCCGCTTGTGCAATGCGATCGATTTTTGAGAACAGTTTAAATATTTGCATAGTCAGCGTATTTGGTATCATTGCGAACGTCATAGAATCTCATGTGATTCAATAAAGCGCCCCGAAAGTATGCTATACTTATTTTGTATTACACTAAAAGAGGATTTGTAATAAAAGTGAAAGGACGTGATCAAATTTATTTATTGAAATACATACAACATTTGGTATCTGAATGTATGCAACATGTATATATATAGTTTTTTATTATGCGAGGGCTCACTTATATGAAGTAAAAAAACGTTTT